TCTAAATGCTGGACTGGGGGTTGGGTAGGTAGGTCGGCCATAGGCCGAAAAAAAGATTTTTGGAACCCTCTACAAGATAGTCCTAAATTGGTTTTACAAGGTGATTTACAGTATTCCTGCATCTAGAATATCATTGTATAGTACATTATCTTGACTGGTTATTATATTTCATTATATCCAGCCCAATTTCTGGCTTCAAAATTGTTTTTCACAGTCTAATCTTCATCAAATTTTTGTCTAATGTTTTAATCAATCACAATTTACTGACAAAACAGTTAGAGACCAGTTCTTGACACCAATGGGTATGCTGTGTGACCTGATTTCAAAACTTGAATCATCTTGATGCTTTCGACACATCAGACACTCTAAACGGATGCCTGTGTGGTGTGGTATTGCACTCAGGATGCAATGGCTTGGTAAAATGGTTGGATGTGAGACTCAACAGGTGAGTATCAGTCTTGTACAAGTTAATCACTACACTCACTTATTTTTTAGTACCACCTACAATGTGTTGCATTGGAGATAGCCCCACGAAATTGGGTATGCAAAGCCTTAGAGGATCAGAGCGATCATGATGATGATGTCATATTTCCATATATAGGCATGTGCCTGATTACGTAGGTAGGTAGGTCAAGCACACAGGGCCTTACAAAAAAATTCGACCCCAGCTACTTTTTTTAAATTCTTGAACCCCCTTGGGCGCGATCGATTACAATTCAATTGCAATTCCAAGGGTACATCAGAAAACTCACAAGCTTCGCATTCGCGTCTTTGATATATCATTAGTTCATCCTGAAGATCTGTAACTTATAATGCTTCAAAGTTTCAGAGATGAAGCTGAGTGGTGCCTTCAAATTCATTATCTTATCTTATCTTGCAGAGACAGGCTTGCGAAAACGAGAGTTCTGACATGGAGACTATGTAGCACTGATAGCAGTTCAACCCGAAGGCTCCGGGTCTTCACATGTTTTTTCTCTTCTTTCGGTCCGTTTCATCATTGTACTCTCGAAATTACAAAGTAAATTGTCACCATCATTGAAGATTAGAACAAAACATCCCCTGAATTTTCAATCCGCAGTATAATTTGTTGCAGCAAAAAAACCACCCTAAAGTTAATGCTCACAAAGCGAAAACGTCTCCTCCTCAAAAACTTTCGTTTCCCTCAGAACAAATGCCTTCCTCTTCTTCATAAGCTTCAATCTCATCTTCTTCGCCTTCTCCATCCCAATTGGAAAGCCCTCCACTTCTTCAAAAACCAAATCTCCCAATTCCCTTGGAAGCCACACATCAATTCCACCCTGACACCCAATTTCCTCCCTCCACCAATCCTTTCTCTGACACGGCACATTTGCAGAGCTGATAATCTTGATATTCGGATTGACCAAGAAGAGCGCGAGAATTTTCCTGTGACCTGGCTTTGTTCGATCTTCAAGCTCGAATGGTTGAACTTGATGCTGCAAAATGTTGGGGAAGGTCAACAGTTGGCCTTCGCGCATATCTACACCCCCAACGTTTTGGAATGTTGGCCCATATTGTTCTAACCCGAAAACGTTAGGGAACCATTCGTGCTGTTCTTGTCTGTACACGATCTGGCCGCGCATGAAGCATCAGGAAAAAATGGACTTGCAATATTGGGGTATGTAGACGTGATAGCGTTGGTAGCACCATCAAGAGCCCCCTGAAATATAGCTCGTGGTAGCGGTGCTGACAAATACATATCACTACATCAGTAAGATGGAAAAATAGATTCTGGGTTTTCAGTGGTTTCCTCTGGTTTCTAGGTTTCTGGAAACTAGGAAACCAGAAACCAGGAATCCTGAGAATCCTAAAAACTATCTACAGTGTAGAACTATTTTTCCATTAATAATAGCTTGTTTACAAGTACGTAGATTCCAGGTGGTAGTAGTTCCTAGTGTTCCCCAAAGAAGGGCAACTGATCCCAACCAACACCAAAGAATACAAGGTCCACAACCGGATTGATGAGGAGGTCGTGATCCGCCGCTGTCGTTTGTCGAGTTGTGCGTTGTCGGTCTGATGACAATGAACGACAATGACATTGGTCGTTCGCCATTTGGTTGCCATGTTGCTGACAGCGACGTGGCACCTGGATTCAGAGTCAGACAGGAGAATGGGGAGGAGTACTTATGTAGGCTTACCTGGATTGGCACAGAGGAAGAGCCTAGACAATGACAACATCGTACATTGTCACCATCATTGTTGCCTCGCATCTGCCTCCAGCGGC